AAAAAATTCAGTTACATAGTCTGTTATATTGAGACATATTTTTGGCATAGAAAGTGATCGAATTGGAGAATGATGTCTGAATCAAAATTATAGCCAGATGAGTTAACTTTCTAACTCATTTTTAATCGCCTCAATCAGACATCAGAATACAAATTTATAATAAAAGCATTGAAAATAGGTGCAGCTCCTTGTTTAAAACAAGAAATTTTGTTACATAATCTGTTATATTGAGACATATTTTTAGCATAGAAAGTGATCCAATTGGAGAATGATGTCTGAATCAAAGTTGTAGGCAGATGAGTTAGCTTTCCAACGCATTTTGAATCGCCTTAATTGGACATCGAAATACAAAGTTATGATAAAAACACTGAAAGAAGGTGCAGCTGCCTGTTTAAAACAAAAAATTCCGTTACATAGTCCATTATATTGAGACATATTTTTGGCATAGAAAGTGATCGAATTGGAGAATAATGTCTGAATCAAAGTTGTAGTCAGATGGGTTAGCTTTCCAACGCATTTTGAATCGCCTCAATCGAACATCTGAATATAAAGTTATGATAAAAAATCTGAAAGAAGGTGTAGCTGCCTGTTTAAAACAAGAAATTCCGTTACATAATCCGTTAAAACAACAAATTCTGTTAGTTTTTCCGTTAAACCAACAAATTCTACACTACACGTAAGCCCAAGTCAACCAAAACGGCATTTTAGCATTAACATTTAAATTCCAAAAGCATGTGAGGTAAATGGAAAATTTTATGAGATTAATTAAATTAATTATTATCAAAATTAATGAATTAATCATGTTTAATATATTAAATTATAATATCTTTTCAAATTCTGATGCAACCGTAGTGAATTGAATTGAAATAATAGTTTTGTTTTATTATTTTATTATTATTTATATTTGTTTATTAATAAAATATAGGATTTAAAATACTTTCTTTCTATCAAAGTAACTCTGATATAACTAGTCCAAAAATATTTATTTTTGAGCCTAATTTATGCTATTTATCACGAGCCACAAAATGAGTATAATATTGATATATTTTATCAACTTCTAAAATATTTAAATATTCAACTCAAATAACTTACGATAAATTCTAAAAAGTATGCATAAACAAACAAATCCTTTATGCAAATAAGTAGGTCGAGTTTATCACTTCAACTTTTGGACTTTAATGTGACGACAAGGCAAAGAATGGACTTAAGTTGAATATTGGTACCAATTGAGCGAGCGTCGAAGCTGTCATCATATCATACGTATTGTTCGCTTTGGGAGGGCCTAGGCCCATTTTACTCCTCACGGCTTTCGACGCGTCCTCCAAAATTCGAATCAAATACCTCCATCATATGAGAAACTTAAGTTGAATCCTGTTACCAATTAACATGGGCCTAGGCCCTCCCAAAGCAGACAGTACTTATGATATGATGACGACTCCGACTTGAGGTCATTACACTACTTTTGCTCCATAATTATCCATTGATTCCACGTCTCAACCAAACAACTCTCTTCGAGTTGTTACTCGAACTTAGATAGGAAATTCCAAACCAAAGTCTTTTTCTGACTTCAAAGTCGTTTACTCCACAAATCATAGATTACGTATTTTGAGTAGTGTTCTTACAATTTTGAAACTGAGCCATCTTCCTCTAGTTAGGCAGCATTTTTCCCAGAATAGCATGCCATCACGGGAAGAGAATTTTGACACTTAGATATCTCTTTTAAAAACCCCTTAATCATCTTATAGTGAGTAACAAGTGGGTTTATAAAATAAAGTGAAACCCTTATGGTAGTATTGACATATTCAAAGAAAGATTTGTTGCTAAGGGATCACTATATATTAAAAGAGGCAAAGTAAAGGTTACACATGTCGCCATTTCCCATCATCGTCAAAAATCCCCCCCTTTTTTTTTTAAAAAAAAAACCCTTTAATTAGTCCAAATTTCCAGCAAAGCCGTCCTCCTTCTCCATTATCTCAAGTAACCACCAACTCTTCCTCCATTTTCTCACACAATTGACTCCATCCATACCACTCTCATCATTTGTCAATCCACCACCGTTAATTCACAAGCGCCAAATTGCCGTGTCTATGGCTTCCTTTTCAATGCCTTCACTACCCATTATCTTCCATTGCTTATTCCCAACAGAGAAACTCCAAAGACTAACACCTCAGGATTGTATTAGATTTCCCCCCTTTTTTGTGTTATTATATAGCCATTTATTTATAAGTAGTTTGTTATATTTGAAATTGATTTTCAAAAGTATGGGGCTGTTGATTTTACGTATATATTGTTTTTGTTACGTCTATGAAATTCGCGTCTCTAGAGAGAATGATTCAACTACAAACCAATGCTTGGTATTCACCCTATCTTGTATTCTTTTTACATCAATATTTTTTTCCTAAGGTTTGAATAATTGAATTCATGGTTAATACTCTTTTGCAGAGGAGAAATGTCTACATTTGATAATGTTGTCAGTGGAAAGCTGAAACTTAAGGGGAAGGCTCTGGATGTAAAAGCAGGTGGAGTGAGAAAAAGAAGAAGCAAAAAAAGCACTACGACAAATTTTTGATGTCTCAAAAAATGAGTTTCGAGATGGTTAGTTGAACTTACTGGAAAAAGCCTGAAAGTAAATCCTTCACATAGGCAAAACAACTTAATCAATTTGTGGAATGTTAATAGCTAAGGTTGGGGCACATTTATTTTATTTATCTGTGTCCTTGTATGTTTTAAAATTGAAATCAATGCTTTAGATTAGAGACTTGAGTATGGGGACTGGATGATTTTGTTGGGTGAATTTGGGATTAAATTGCACGAAGACACACAAAGGCACCTCCATGACCGAATGGAGGCACATCTACATGGAGACACGGGCATGTCTCCGTGCAACGGAGCCTCCGTGCACGAGTCTCCATCTCACGGAGACACGGATGGAGACACTGTCGTGTCTCCGCGCTCGGGAAAAGTTTTATAGTATAATAACAAGAGAAAGGACATCGACTATAAACATTCAGATATTTTACACACATACTTGGCAAGGCATATGGATGAAAATAACGTATGTTAATGCCAATTTTTTTCAATAGTTTTCTCTATTTTGATTCTGATGTCAAGTGCAAGGTCTCAGCACCTGCCGATGATAGTGCTCATGTCTTCAAAACTAATGCAGTAATTCCTAATTCAGCTAATACTCGCTCTTCCAATTACAGAGTCACGGGTAAAATTTCAAATTATTCATTGTTAATTTTTTTCATTTCCTGGTTGTTTAGTTGTAACTTTAGAACATATATGAAATTGAAAGATTAATGTATAATGAACTCTATCTAGGGGTGCCAGCGGACGGGAGGTGTTTATTTAGGGCAATTGCACACATGGCATGCTTGAGAAATGGAGAGAGCTCCTGATGAGAATCGCCAGAGAGAGCTTGATGATGAATTAAGAGCTCAAGTACATAATTTTCAATTGCACACAGGGTTATTTTGGTTATGATCTTGTATTAAAACTTCACGTTCTCATGTCTTCGTGCCGTGCACAGTCTCCGTGCCAAGCACGGAGACACCTTCTCGTGTCTCCGTGCCACACCTTCTCGTGTCTCCATGCTCCGTGTCAAGCACGGAGACACCTTCTTATGTTTTTGTGCCCGTCACGGAGACACGTTCTCGTGTCTCTATGCCGCATGGAGACACGAGAAAGTGTCTCCGTGCTTGTAGAAAACAATTCTCTGCTTATTGAAATTTACATTTTTTTTCAGTTAGCATTCGATAAAAGGAAAAATCATCAAAATGTAAAATTAGATTCTCACAAATTCCGATAGGCAGGGATCAGTGCTGAGTTTAGTGCTATCCTAATATCATATAATATAAGCTCTCTTTTTTCATTTGTGGAAACTGACCGAGGGAAGAGCTTAACAATTCACAGTTCTTTTAACAAGGCAACATTGCGCTGATGGAAGATCATCATTTCCATTTGTGATCTCAAGAAGAGATCCTGATAATGATGCTTTTTAGAAGTCTCCCCTTTTTTGCACAATGAAGGTGCTTGGTAATTGTCCCTATCATCCTGATAATATTGAAATATGCTACCATTATTTGTGTATTTGAATCAAGATGAGATTCTGCTAGAAATTTTATCCATTTGTATATTATACTTACCTGGATGTAGGTGGGCATCTATGAAAACATAGAATATTTATTTATGTAACATCATTTCATTTATTTCAGATCAAAATACGACAGCTTTCAACGAAGTTGCCATCATTCGTCATCCTCGCATTGGAGAATATGCCTTTGGTTTTATTACATCATCTGTAGTTCTTCAGGTGCTTGAAATAACCTGTCACTCAAAATTGTTGCAAATACCTTTATAGTTAATAAATGAATTAGTTTTGTATTGCAATTTCTTGTAGACCATAGTTGTATATGAAATCTTGTGGCTACAGAAGTTGCTTGATTACATATTTTGCTCTTAAAAGAGGTATGTTGTTAATAAGGAACTTGAACTAGAAACAATTGGTAATGAAATCATTATCTATCATAATATTCATAATAGAACTGCTGTCCCTGCCTCACATCAAATTTGCTTACTGATCTTGTCATCCAAAATAGACTACAATTGGAAATATAATTTCTTAATTTGAAATTATGGGGTGATTACAGTTGGATTTTTTTCTTCTCCTTTATGTTTCTAAATTCATTTTCATACGAATCAAGATCAGAAATTTTGGTTGCCAATTTGGGATTCCTGGAAATGTAGAATCTTTTTTGCGTGCATGGGTGGTTTTTGTTAGGAAGGACGGTGACAATTTTGTTGACTTGAAATAACATTGAATAAATATCAAATGCGATAGACTTTTTTTGCCTGGAATGTGCTGACATTAGTTTTTAATTGGATGGCCCTCTTTGCCAACTATTCTTCCATTTATTTCAGAGATCATTGTGTCCGTTGGAATGTCAATGCCACATGTGATTTCTCCCTTGGAAAGAATCACACACCAGAATAATATGATCCCTCTGAACAGAGTGATGTAGAATGGTATCTTCTTGTCGAAGAAAGTTCAACTTGCTATTTCACTACCACCACAACCAGTTTACTTTGAAGGGATAGTTGCATCTCTACTCTCCCATCTTTCTGCTTGTTGGACAATACAAATTGTAGTAGTAAGTTACATCGTGGTGAAATGTTGTGTTTTGCTTCGAAAATGAATGCACATATTTATGCTTATCCAGATTGTGGGCTCCAATTAGGCCAAAAGAACATGCCTTTTTCATTCACACGTACAAATATGGCCTAAGCTCTCTACTAGACTCAAGATATCCTATGAGTTTCAAATAAAAAGTATCATAATACAGTGACATCAATAACCAACATAACACATAGCATGAATGTGTGACTCTCAAAGTCGTGTATGTTTGACAAAACTTAAAATTGCTTAAAAATTGGTCAAACTTTAGCTTCCGTTTGATACCCATCCCCCCCACCCCTCGGACCTAAAAAATGCATTCTCATGTCACATCACATGGGGTCCGCTACAGTTTTTTTTAAAAAAAATTTTTGTGGAAAATTACCTTTTTTACCTCCTCTTATCTTCTTCAATCTGTTGCAATGACAAGAACTCACGTGAAACTTGAAGACTTTTTTCATATGGGTATGTACAAATACGTGTACGATTGGAATTTTATTCACGTTAACACATACCATGTTTCATCCACATACTTTCAAAACTCATTCTTTCAAAACTAATTTTCAATCACACATTTTTGAAAAAAATAATTTTTTTCATCTCTTCGAAATTTTTTCCTTTTTTTTACCGCATATTTACGATGACATTACTACGTACAATTTTTTCTCGGGCTGAAAAGCTTTTTCCTTCCTTTTTTTTGTGTGTTTGTGTGTGTGGGTGGGGGGGGGATACTATATCTTGGATTATATAATAATATCATAAATACTTGATCCCTTAATTACTCCAAAAATCGTTTTGTAACTTACATTAAAATAGAAACTATAAATTACGCATAATGAATTACCTTCCCATAACGTAAGCTGATTCAAACAAATTTAAAAAAAAAAAAAGTTTTCATATGAAATTATAACACAAAATTGCAAAATACATACATTTACTGTCAGGCATATTTTATCTCCGAGTGTCCATCCAAATTGTTATTTGATGCGGGAAAAGTTGTATAGTGTAATAACAAGAGCTATACACATTTGGATATTTTACACACATACTTGGCAAGACATGTGGATGAAAATAAGGTATTTTAATGTCAATTTTTTTTCAATAGTTTTCAATTTTTTGTTGTGAATGTATTTTCTACTACTATCAATCTATTGTCATTCTTGTATTTTTGGATTTTTAGTTAATTTAATTAGTGATTGTTGAAATTGAATTTTACCGGCATGTTTGACCTTCTATAGATAAATTTAACAAGTGTAATGGTAAAACATTGTGTAAAAGATTTCTTTTACCTTTACTTCTTGTCGACAATAATCAACTAACGTGTAACGCACATTCTCTTCACTAGTTTTATAGAAAAATGTCATTGATTTTCATGAAACTTTTTGGAAGTTACTAGTTCAACCCTAAAATCACTTAATATGTGAATCACGCGAAATTAAAAATTATCAATTAAAAGTAACAAGTCACTTTTTAATTGTTCATGATGTTTAGTCAATCAAGTCAATTTTATCCTATGTTGAATTGTCACAATAATAAATAGAGCAGTAATTAACACAAGATTTGATGATGGAGAAAACCCTAACAGGGTAAAAACTCCGGGACCAATACAGTAACTTTCTCTATAGACAATAAGAACTTACATTATGATCCACCCTAGAAAACCTACTAGATTCGCTGATCTAATTTCTACAATCTCCAAGACCAACTAGAACCTGATACACCCACACTACTCCCAATATTCTGAAATTGTCTTTCTACTGTAGATCACCAAGAACACCTTATTTTTGTACTCTTCCTGTGCTTGCAGTCCAACCTCCTTCAATCTTAGCAACTTCTGAAAGTTATTGAAGAAGTACATTCCTGATGATATCTAGGAAGTAAGTGTTTTGGATTATTTGAATTTAATATTTTTTCCAACTTGTGGTTGATTGATCTTAAGAATAAAAAGTTTAATCTCAATATTTGGATGTTTTCTTGGATCTTGGAATGATATTATGAAGATGTAATATAATGATCAACCACACACAAAAATGTACTAAGTATTAGGTATTTATAATAAGATGTATTTATTTAGTATATGATAGATATAACTCTTGCAAAATGCAAATTAGGATTTCTTTGAAAATATCGTCGAGCGCTATGCTAGCGACATGCAAGTGAGAGGTGTGTCGCTCGAGCGAGAGGCGTGCAAAAATAATTCTATTTTTTTTTTTCCGTTCGAGCATTAGTTATGTGACGTGCTAGCATAAATCCGGTAACTCGTTCTCCTTGTTCCATACTCGAACCCAAAGACTCTTAATTTTTCTAAAGAATCATTTTACAACTCTTTTATAACAATCCTTTTGTCTAAAGAATTGTCAATACAACATAAATCCTAACAATCTCCCCCTTTGGCATTTTGTGACAGAACTATACAATACAAGTCAAGGATGTAAAAACAAACTAATCTACCCAAACTCAAATTGAATGTTTGTCTGTTGCATTCCTTGAAACCTGTTCTTGAAATCAACAACCCAAATACCAAGTGTAGAAGCACGTGATACAATAAATATAATAGTTGAAACATAATATCATAAATATGCTAGCTAGATTGAGAAGTAATACTAATGTTAATCAAAACACCAACTGAAACAATAATATCACAAAATATTAAAACTCAAAAAAGTTAAGCATGAAATACAATCATCTCTTTGAATACTATCATCTTCCTCTTACTGTAAACTCTCCAAAATTAAAATTAAAATTAAAATACAAAATACCAAATTAAAAAGCAAAATGTCACTCTCTCCCTTTTTGTCACAAATGACGAAATGAATTATATAAACAATATATAATAACTCGAAGATGGAGTTCATAGCATGCACAAGTATAATCAATGATTAGTAAACTTTCTCACATACTCAGTTCAAGTCTAAATGGAGAATATTGTATAAGTGACTCATGTGTGTCAAGTGCCACTAATTCCTTGTGAATAAGACTCAAAACCTTAAANTTTTTCACTTCAATTTTTCACATCTTATGTGCACAGATGACCCATTAACGAGTTTTGTGTCAATGACTCTAAGTCAGTTGACCATAGGCATCATGTAATGAGAAACTCCTCGAGCTTAATTATTTGAGTCAAATAGGCTTCTAAGTATAAAATGAGATATTTTTTATTTTATTTAAGGGGATATACTAGAGTTTAGGTTTACTAAATTAAGGTCGATCCATATTCAAAGTCAC